AAACCTGAAATGTAAATGGTCCCTAACAGCAACTTGGATAATCCTGAAATGTAAATGGTCCCTAACAGCAACTTGGATAAGACTGAAATGTAAATGGTCCCTAACAGCAACTTGGATGAGACTGAAATGTAAATGGTCCCTAACAGCAACTTGGATAATCCTGAAATGTAAATGGTCCCTAACAGCAACTTGGATAAGACTGAAGTGTAAATAGTCCCTAACAGCAACTTGGATAAGACTGAAATGTAAATGGTCCCTAACAGCAACTTCGATAAGACTGAAATGTAAATGGTCCCTAACAGCAACTTGGATAAGACTGAAATGTAAATGGTCCCTAACAGCAACTTGGATAAGACTGAAATGTAAATGGTTACTAACAACAACTTGGATAAGACTGAAATGTAAATGGTCCCTAACAGCAACTTGGATAAGACTGAAATGAAAAACTTTTCCAGAGCAATTTGAATTGAGGAATCACATGTCCCTTTCCTTGCAAATCAAATAGATTTTGACTCATTAAACATAATTTAAAATGATGTGGACCTGATTCCATATACAGTATATCAGCAATCGGATGCGGAAGTCATCATGTGCACGAAGGCAGTAAATCCGAACAACACACAGATTCCTTTATACTTTCCCTATGAACGTGTTGTTTTCAATCTTTCCTTTATGTTGTTTCATGTTTGCCACATGTCTGGTCAGTTCTTTTTGTTTTTATTCACTAAGCTTTCCAGCTTAAAGTAACAAGGTTAAGCCTAACAAGATAGTGAATATAAGTTTTCTGTAGCATTTGAAAGTTGTTCTAATTTATATTACCTGGCCTTAGAGAGATAATTGTAGCTTTGAGTAAGCTTCTAATAAATATAATTAAATGAATGAGGTTTGTTGTTTATTTCCACAGCCAGTTATTCCTGTCTTTACGAAGAATGTCAGGGAAGCCTTTCGGTCCATTAGTGTTGGAAGATGTGAGTGAGGTGACTGCTCCTTGTTCTTTGGTTCTACTCTGATGATTGTCAGTAATTTTTAATTGTTTCTGGAATTTTCTCTAATGCTTTTTCACCTAGGCTTAAACAAGAATAACCTTAAACTCATCCTTTCGTGATAACATCCCAATCTTATAAACTTGGATCTCTCATCATTATAGCTTGTTTTGGTTTAGGGGTAGTGCATTACAAAGTAAAAGTAACATTTTCTTATGTATGTATACACTGATGGGTCCAGGATCTCCAGATTGTGGAGATATAACCTGTTGTGGAAGGG